TGTTGTTAATCTTGTATCCTGCCATATTACTGAAGGTGTTTATCAGCTGTAGGAGTTCCCTAGTAGAATATTTGGCATCACTTATATATACTATCATATCATCTGCCAATAGTAAAAGTTTAACTTCTTCTTTTCTGATCTCTATCCCCTTGATCTCTGTTTGTTGTCTTATTATTCTAGCTAGGACTTCGAGTACTATATTGAATATGTATATTGAATATGGGGAGAGGGGAAAACCTTGTCTTGTTCCTGATTTTAGTGGAATCACTTTGAGTTTCTCTCTATTTAATTTTATGTTGGCTGTCAGCTTGCTGTAAATGGCCTTTATTATGTTATGTATATTCCTTGTAATCCTGATCTCTCCAATACTTTTATCACGAAGGGGTATTGGATTTAGTCAAAGGCTTTTTCAGCATCTAATGAGATGACCATACATTTTTTTCAGTTTATTTATATGGTGTATTACATTGACAGATTTTGATATGTTATACCATCCCCACATCTTTGGAATGAGGCCTACTTGGTCATGGTGGACAATTTCTTTGATGTGTTCTTGGACTTTTTTGACAGCATTTTTTTTGAGTATGTTTGCATCAAAGTTCATGAAGATACTGGTCTGTGATTCTTCTGCTTTGTTGCATGTTTGTGTGGTCTGGGTATGAGGACAACTGTGGCCTCATAGAAAGAGTTTGACAATGTTCCTTCTGCTTCCATTGTGTGGAGTAATTTGAAGACTATTGGTATTAGCTCTTCTTTCAAATTCTGGTAGAATTCTATGATAAAACCATCTGGTCCTGGGCTTTTTTTTCTTTTTCTTTTTCTGTTTTTGTTGTTGTGGTTGTTGTTGTTGGGAGACTTTTAATGACTGCTTCTATTTCCTTAGAGTTTATAGACCTATTTCAATTGTTTACCTAGTCTTGATTTAGTTTTGGTGTGTGGTACCTATCCAAAAAATTGTCCATTTCTTTTAGATTTTTCCAATTTTCTGGAGTACAGGTTTTTGTAGTATGACCTGGTGATTCTCTGGATTTCCTCATTGTCTGTTTGGTCTCCCTTTTCATTACTGATTTTGTGAATTTGGATGTTCTCTCTCTACCTTTTGGTTAGTTTCAATAAGATTTTGTCTATCTTGTTGATTTTCATAAAGAACCAACTCTTTGTTTCATTAATTTTTTGTATTGTTTTCTTTTTATCTATTTTTACTGATTTCAGCCCTCAAATTGATTATTTCTTGGCATTTATTTCTTTTGGGTGAGAGGGCTTCTTCTTGTTCTAGAGCTTTCAGGTGTGCTGTTAAATCACTACTGTGAGATTTCTCCAACTTCTTTACGTGGGCATTTAGTGCTATGAATTTTCCTCTTAGCACAGATTTCATATGTGTCCCATAAGTTTGGGTATGCTGTGTGGATGAATTTCTAAATGGTCTTATTAAATATAAAACACAGAGCCAAATATAGGGGTGAAAGCCTTAGAGAGATCAGGGAAATAGGAAAGGCACCAGCCAACCTTACCTTACCAACTCTACAGTTTCCAAATGCAAGTTACTTTCTGTCTACCCATGTCTATACGTCTTGCTGTTCTGCCATTTCATTTACTCTCTTTGTTCAGCAGCATCACTTCCTCTTCCTACACAGCTCTGTCACTTCCTGTCTGTCTGTGCATGGTTAACTAGTTTTGGAATTTAAGGCATGTGCTACCACACCTGGCTCTGTTTCCAGTGTGGCTTTGAACACACAGAAATCCTGCCTGCCAAGTGATAGGATTGAGAGCTTGTGATACCACTGCCTGACTTCTTTGTTTAGTAATGACTGGCCTTTTTCCTCTGATCTCCAGGCAAGCTTTATTTATTAAATCACAAATAAACTATCACCACAATTTTGTATAATAATTTTCATTGAATTCTAGGAAGTCTTTAATTTCTTTCTTTATTTCTTCCTTGATCCATTAGTGATTCTATTGAGCATTATTCAGTTTCCATGAGATTGTAGTTTTTCTGTAGATTTTGTTGTTGTTGAAATCTAACTTTAAACCATGGTGGTCTGATAGAACACAAGAGGTTATTCCAATTGTTTTGAATCTGTTGATATTTGCTTTGTGTTCAAGTGTGTGGTCGATTTTAGAGAAGGTTCCATGGGATGTTGAGAAGAATGTATATTCTTTGTGTTAGCATGGATTGTTCTGTGGATGTCTATTAAGTCCATTGAGTCATAACATCTATTAGATCCCTAATTTCTGTATTAAGTGTCTGTCTGGCAGATCTGTCCATTGGTGAGAGTGGGGTGTTCAAGTCACCTGCTACTAGTTTGTGGGATTTGATGTGTGATTTAAGTTTTAGTAATGTTTCTTTATATATGTGGGTGCCCTTTTATTTGGGGCATAAATATTCAGAACTGAGGCTTCATCTTGGTGGATTTTTCCTTTGATGAATGTGAAATGTCCTTCCTGATCTCTTTTGATTGATTTTAGTTTGAAGTCTATTTTGTTAGATATTAGGATACCCACACCAGCTTCCTTCTTAAGTCCATTTGATTGGAAACTCTTTTCCCAGACATTTTCTCCGAGGTAGTGTCTGTCTTTGAAGTTGAGGTGTGCTTCTTGTATGCAGCAGAAAGATGGATTCTCTTTGCAAGGTCAAATGGGGGATTTTGTTTGGGAAGCCTGTTCAGAGGAGTCTTTCCTGCTGGTCTGCAACTGGGGCAGCCCATGCTATGGTTTTATGGGTTTTATTTCTGTGTATGTGTGTATGTATGCATGTATGTATGAACTTATGTTTCCTGTATGTTTTCTTTTTTTTCTGTTTTGTGTGTTTGATTTTTCCCTCTTTGTTTGCTGTTTGTTTGCTTTCTAAATGCAAAGAAATAGAAGTTGCATGGAGATTGGTGGGTAGAGTTGTGTGAGGATGTGGTAGGAGTTAGGGTAGAGAAAATCATGATCAGGATAGATTTTATAAAAATATTTTTTCAGCTAAAACAAAATAAGGCTCTCACTGCAGTGACTGAGAAGCTAAGGTTGGGAGGTGAAAGAAAGGAGGAGGTGTGAGTGAGTGGGCACCCAGACTGTCAGCCAGCACAGGCTTCAGATGACAGTGCTAGAGTCTCAGGAGTTAAGAGCAGGGTGAGCGGGGCGCTGCTCATAGTGTGCCCGGAACTCAGATGCAAGTCCTCATGCAGTCAGGGATGGAGGAACCGGGGCTGTGGAATGCTCATAGGCTTTAGATCTTCATATGACAGGGGTTTGGGACTGTGAAAAGGTGGGAATAAAAATCTTCTTGTTTTCAAAGATGAGTTTTGATATCATCTATCCTGGAGAATGTTTTTTTATGACTTTGGAAAGGACTACTCTTGTTAGGTAGTGTGCTATGAATGTGTCTGACAGGTTCTATTACTGAAGTTCGTTAGGAATGTGAAGTGTGTCAGTTTGGTTTTACACGTTGGTGAAGTAATACAATTTTGAAGATCAAAACAATATGTCTAACATATTATTCAAGTCTAGTGCTGTTATACTGTGTTTCTGTCTGGTTAATCCACAGTTAAAAAATCCACAGTTAAAATAGTTGTATGAAGACCACAGTGGTTACTATACCTATGTTTTTTTCTTCTGTCATGTCTATACATACTTTTTATATCAAGTTGGTTAAATACATATCCAGTTGTGTCATATATATATATATATATATATATATATATATAGAATTGGTTATCATTACACAATGACCTTCATTTTCCTTTATTAGCTTTAGTTTTAAGTTCTAATTTGTCTGATGTTAATCACAATCTCCTTTGTGTTACATAGCCACAGACTGTATTTCTCATTCCTCTGCTACATTCTTAATATGGATTCTCCACATTTACATGTGTCCTCTATGTCATATTCATGATCATGAAGATAATGGTTTTATTGGAGATTGGATTAGGAGGCTTTTTTTCTGACTCTTAGAATTATTTCCATTACAAAGACACCAAAGCCTGTTTCCTTGCCAAGATGCCGCCAGTCAGAAGTACTCAGGAAAGAGAAGGAAATGTCAGATGCCAAATCTTATGTTATCATCTTAGATATGTTGTCCCTTGGCTTGTAAAGTTTAGAGCTTCCTGACATGAGTGTGTTTTAAGCAGACACATGTAGTTTGTGGTAAATTATTATAGTGGTGCTGACAGACAACTATCTTCACTGGTGTCACAGTTAAACACAATTACTCTTGTTAATTATTTTTATTAGTAACACTTCCTTGATGTTTGAATTATTGGACTGGCAACTATCCAATTTCATATAATAGAAGGCTATAAATATTTGTTCAATTTTGATCTTGTTATATATACCTATATTTTCTTCTTAAAGAGCTCAAACATGTGAAAAGTTAAAAATATCTTTAGACATCCTTTTCTTAAATTAACTTGTTTTGATGATTTAAAACCTATTATGTTCCTGGTAGAGGTACTAAAATATAAAACTAAAGATTAATGCTCCTCAGTTTAAACTTGAATTGCATCCTGGTAGCCAAGGTACACTGAAAACACTCAGTTAAGATTCATTTTAAATACCCAATGTTCTATTAATCAGAGTAAACCAATACGAGGCTCAAAATGTTGCCTGGTTACTTTGGCCAAATAGGAACTATGATGAGTTACTGCTACCTGTTTCACAGTATCATATTACATATAGAAAGCCCAGAATAAAAGTAAAATCTTAGCAGTATTCACTATCATAAAGTTAATAAGTTATGCCCATCCACTGTAAACTAGAATCAGTCTTTAATGTTATTAAATAGCAACTCTTAACACTAATATCTCTTTTATAAATTTGATTGTATTTATTGTTATTTTCCTTTATTAATTTGGGCACAAAGTATGCATGTGCTTTTTGCCTGTTTATCAGGTATAGAGAGTATTTATAAATTTATATCAGTGGCAAAGTCCTATGCTGAGTTAAATTTTAATTCCTTTATATAATTGCTTAAATATTTCAATGTGCTTAATTAATATCTTCAGAAGTTCATGACAAAATGTTTCTTAGATTTGTTTATTAACACAAAAGTAGTATTTGGCAATTATTTATATTCATTAGTAATGTTAAGTATGACAGTTTGATTATTACACATTTGTGAGATAATACTAATTTGAAGATGAAACAATATGACTTCTGTTCACCAGGAATCTGAACCTTAGATCAAAATGTCCTGAGGAAGATTGGAGAGATTTTGAAAAACGATGGGTAGAAACAGACACTAAGAAGTTACATCTCTTTTATTACCATTGTTTTTTTGTGCTAGCACACAGCACATTCTGCTTTAAGAGTTTTGAATGCACTGCTTTGCATTTGTAGCAGTGGTCTCTTAGGCTCCAAATTAATCATCATATACCACCACAAGTTTATACTTATGAGAAGAAATGAGTTAAATAATACTTCAAACTTATACTGATTTTTGGTTGTGAGCCTAGCCTTTAACGGCTGAGCCATCTCTCCAGCCCCAAACTTATACTGGAACTTTCTTAGCAATATGCATGCATATTTCCAAACAAAGGTTCATTCATCCTTTGAATTAATCATGTATATGGAGCAACTGGGAAAATCAATGTGACCATCAATGCACAGTGTACGTAATGGAGGTCTTGTATTTGTTTGTCTATATCCAGATTTACACTGAAATTCAGCATAGTCTCCTGATTTGATATATAGCTTTTGGTTTTCTATCCATCTGAGAGTTATATTATGTCTTTCCATAATTTCTTCTGATATTACACATGGATCTGAAAGAAAAAATACCAAAAGTTTATTAATATATAAACATACAGAGATTCAGTTTTCAAGCATTATTTTTCAAAGTTTTTAAAAACTTATCTGTATTAAACCAGCACATAGAATTAATTTGTATTGAATAGCAAATACTGTCAAAAATGGTTTTAATGTGATAATTAGATTTCAACAACAAGGATTCCTAAAGTCAATGAAATAAGACACTTTGATTTCAGAACATTTGTGGTTTTTTGCATTGATTTAGGTATTGGGCAAAGGTAAAAAATTTGAACCTTGACATATATATGATATTCAGACCTAATGTTCATTGCCATGAGTGTAATGAAAAATAATGCTCTTAGAAAGCCAAATCATAACTAATATATGATCATAACTTAATAATGATCATCATTCACTCACAAGGTTGTAACTATGAATAGTGATTAATATATTATGAATTTGATTTTCATAGTTTTAAAAACAAATCTATCAAATTACCACACTAGATAAGGGACTAACCTGCTTGGAAAGCAGTGTCTGCAGCTACTGCACTATTCTCTGGCCTTCCTTACATTGCTAGAAAACCAAGAGGACATAATGTCCAAGTTCATGCTGTCTCCAACCAATTTGTTTGGTGTTGCCATCCTGCCCCACAACACATTCAATCATACTCTACTGTAAAGGCTGGGACTAAGTGCTATAGAGTGGATACCAAATTCCCATAACCATTTCTGATTGCAGCATCTGGTGTCATGCCACTGTCTAGTCAGAGCAGAATCCTACTGACCTCCCTCCGCTGAGGATTCCAGGAAAAATAGCCCTTGCATGTAGCAGATCTCACAGTTTCTGAGAAAACCTGCATCATCTTCTATGAGCTACCACACCCACTGTAGGAGTCTTGACACAACAAGCACTCTGCACCCTGAGCTGTCTTTGTCACCCCACCTGAACTGATAAGTGTCCCAGTTTCAGTATAATTCACAGAAACATTGGTTCACATTGTGCCCAAAGGTGATAATTACAGGCAAATAACCCATAAGTAGTACATGAAAATAACTCCTGCACTGTAGCCCAAGATACATCACCAGTAGAGAGCTTCCTACTAAGAAAGTCTCCACGTATATAGTATAGAAAAAATTCATCCAGCAGATGTGCAAAAATGTGCAAGAAATATGTAAAAAATGAAGGGCGGGCTGGAGAGATGGCTCAGAGGTTAAGAGCGATGACTGTTCTTCCAGAGGTCCTGAGTTCAATTCCCAGCAACCACATGGTGGCTCACAACCATCTGTAATGAGACCTGGTGCCCTCTTCAGGCTTGCAGGAACACATGCAGGCAGAACACTGTAAACATAATAAATAAATAAATAAATAAATAAATAAATAAATAAATAAATAAATAAATAAATCTTTAAAAAAAATGGAGGACAACAAAACTCCTCCAAAGTTCCATTACTCCTCTAATAACAGACACCAAATGTACTGAATGAATAAAAAAAGTCAGTAGAAAAAATTTTAAAATCTCTAAAAACACAGTTATTTCCAAGGGAAAACAGAAAAATAATTAAAGAAGTAAAAAAAAAATTCAATGGGGAATATGACTGAAAAAAATTATGGACAAGACACAGTTTGAAACAGATTCAGATCAAATAATTGGAAATTGACAGCTGTGTAAGTTAATTAAAATAGGTCAAAAATGTCATTAGGAAAAAATTCTTGCCATTCCAAATGGCAATTCTAACTGTTGAGAAGTTCATTGAGATGTATCAACTTGGAGTTAAATAACCAACCCACCAAACAACCAATCAAAAATAAAGCCTAATAAATTGAAAACTGAATGAATGCATATCTAACATAGCTAACTAACTAAATGTGCTCTAGAGAGAGCAACACTCAAAAATGAAATATATCTACCAACAACAAATATTAAATACATATAAATCGCACTAAAATAGAAGATACAAAAAATAAGTATAGAGAAGAGTCAAATATAGGTGCAAAAATTCTCTTAAAAGTTTGCTTTAGAGCTAGGTAGTGATGGCTCATGCCTTTAATCCTAGATTTCAGGAGGCAGAGTCTGGCATATCTCTGTGAGTACCAGGCCAACATGGTTTACAGAATGAGTTCCAGGACAGCCAGGACTACTCAGAGAAACCCT